AGACAGGGTCTCACTAGGCAGTTGAGACTGACCTGGAACTCACTATGTAGCCCAGGCTGGTCTCGAACTCACAGCGATCCTCCTGCCTCAGCCTCCCGAGTGCTGGGATTACAGGCCTGCGCCACTGCACCCCGCGCACATGGTGCACTCTGCTTCTTGTTTTTCACTTTTTTTTTTGAGACAGGGTCTCACTAGGCAGTTGAGACTGACCTGGAACTCACTATGTAGCCCAGGCTGGTCTCGAACTCACAGCGATCCTCCTGCCTCAGCCTCCCGAGTGCTGGGATTACAGGCCTGCGCCACTGCACCCGGCTTTTCACTTTTATTTTTAAATGGAAGATCTATTTTTTGTTTTGTTTTGCTTTGTTTTTTCTATCCCTCCTTGAGAGAGTAGGGCTATTCAGGGGAAGGAACTTAAATGGCTCACAGCAGGGGAGAGTGAGCCAGCTTCCTTGCAGAGTCTGTCTTTTTCTTTTTCCCTCAGTCTCTGGTTCTTCGAGAATGATTTTAAGGTAAATGTAAAAATGAAGTTTCTTGATTACTGCTATTATAGAAACTGCTTCATGGATTCACGGAACCAAAAAATATTTCAAGTAAGACTTAAGCCATCTTCTTGTGTCTATAACCCATTCTAAACCTAAGCAGAATAGTTATTTAATTGGTGGTCACCCAGGCAACCAGATACAGATTTTTAATGGTTACCAGGGAGGTAATGTGTTTGCAGTCAGAGGCAGAGAGAAGAAAATAGTTACAGTTGGTTACAAAACAAATATCAAACCTCCACAGTGTTTCTCATGTTACAAGAGCAAATAGGGAAGAAGGGCCAGCTAGGGAAAGTGGCAGAGCGTGCTTTGTAAACACTGGAGACGCTGCAGAATATTCTGGATCTCCACTATATTAAAATAGAAGGAGCCTGTCAGGGAAGTGGCTGCTGCTTGGTATATGGCTCTCCGTTGCCTAACTCACCCCACAGGTAATGACAAATGAAATAAAAGTTCTGCCAGGCCCGGGTCCTCCTCACTAACGAATCAGTGTGACCTGACACTTCCGGGCTGGCTGCTTGTGTGAGGGAACCATGAGGAGAAGAAGTAGCTGCCTGGGTGTGGAGGAGAGAGGGCCAGACAGGGTCCCAAACCGGTCTCTAGTCATGAAAGAAAAACAGGGCTGCGGTGCTGACTGACCGGGCCACAGATGTGTGACTGAGCTCACCCTATTGCAACAAGGATGCGCACAGTTGGTGGTAAGGAACTTTCGGCAAGTTCCTCCTTTGGTGACACGGTAACGGTGTGTCTTGGATGGGTTTATGATATGTGTATGTATGTGCTTTTAGGTGGGCAAGATTCTGACAGGTACCTTTCATAAATAAGTCTGTGGCTTGCTTACCTATTAAAGTTTAAAACAAAATGTTACCTTCGGGCATTTCTGTGTCTGACACGAAGACATGTCTTACTTTTGGCGATTTTCATCAAATGTCTGGTGTCATCATTTGGCAGGGCCTAACCGAGCTCAAATCCACATGCCTTTGAGTCGGCAATCTCCTTTTAAGGAACTGATTCCACAGTCCTGCTCATATATACGTGCAGAAGTGGGTTTATGGGGATCAAAGTTTGGAAATCACCACTGTGCCTATCAAGAGGGGCTGAGTGACAGGACATTCATGTTACAGAATAGAGTACTGCTGTGCAGATCTGTGGCCAGCCCCACGGGGTGTGTTAAAGTTGGCTGCGGACATGACAGAATGTGGAAGGGGAGCGTAATAGATAGGAAATATGTTTACATATGCAGAGAATATTTCCAGATGGATGCCCAGGAATTTTAACAGAAGAGGTCTGTGTGGAGGAGACTGGAAGGCTGGCTCCTGTAGCTCCTCCGAAATTCACTTTCCGTTCCCCACTGCTTTACACTGTTTGAAATTTGTATTGGCTAGGGGCATAAATCATTTTGCAAGAAGACTTTTAACGGAAATGTTATTTGTTTCAATTAATTAGGGTTTTGAGGCTGGTGTTCTACACGCTCAGCAAAATATCTGGTCTGCTCCTGAACTAAAAGTGGCTTAAAACTATAGAAGAAGGCGTCTTCCAGTTAAAAGTATATTTGGGGAGAGAAATATGGTAGCTAATGAATAATACAGAACATTGATCTGAGCTTCTATGTTTGTGCTGACAGCTTGGAAACCTAGAGAGCTGCCCAGGAGGCCCAGTGCCTTTCTCCAGCAAGTCACACCGGAGGCCGCTTCCTGCTGGGGGGGCCCCCTGCCTCTGAGCCTATGAAATCTTTCATGACAGGCTCCCAGTGTCTCTCCTGTACTCCAGCTGCAGGGCTCTTGTCACAGCCTCTCTCTCTTTGCCTGTGGATGACAGAAGAATGCTTGGAAAGATAAACACCCACTGATTTATTTACATTAAATAATATCCTGCCCACTCCCGGAAACCTATAAAGTCAGTGGCCTGAAGAAAGCAGTCCCGTGACAGTGAGGGAGCCCCTTCTTTCTGAAGCCAGGCTCATGGGGAAAAGATGTTACAAGACAGCTCGACACACATTCTTTTGTGGGAACTGCCACCTCATCATTGCTGGGTGGGCCCTTCATTTGACACGTTTGCCATGCAGTTGTCATCCTTATGTCTCCCTGCTGGGTGTCTCTGAACCACTGGGGGTACACACATGACTATCTCATCATGTGGCATGGGACAGACCCATCAGGTGGTTCCAGCTGCCTGATGGGACAGTCGTGCATGTACCTCTGATGGTTCAAGCTGGGCTGGAACATGTTAACCTTTCCAACACCCTGTGTTATCTCTTAAACTAATTTTGTTTTTTTTTAAAGACAGGATCTTGTTATGCAGCTCAGGTTGACCTTGAACTCACAGTGATCCTCCTGCCTCAACCTCCCAAGAGCTGGGATTACAGGCGTGCTCCACCATGCCCAGCAGACTCATTGTTAATTAACCTTCTGTCTTTTCAAACTGTAAGATCCTTAAGGGCTGTACTTGTGTTACTCATTCATTCAGTCATGGAACAAATATTTCAAGTCTGCTTAACGCATGCAAGACAGCTTTGCTCAGGCCCAAGGGGTGCAATGAACAAGACAGTATTCTTTCCTGGAGAAGCTCACAGTCTTCTAATCTCTCCACAACTGGATGATCTCACTCAGGTTTGTGTCTCCCAGGGTTGTGGACACGAGGCATTCATCAAGGTGCCGAATCTAGGTTGGTTGGTTGAGAAAGTGCTTCAACTATGAACCCAGAATCATGCAGCGATAATGTTCTTGCATATTGCATTTTCCACTGATGAGCTTTCTAGTAAGTCACCAGTTTCTCAAGATGTCTTCCACTATAGCCTTTAGAAATACAGTTTTGTTTTGTTTTTTCTGTCTTTCTTAGAGTAGATGTTTCTGGCTTGGGAATGCAATTCTTTCCGGCTGACATTGAGGACAGCCATTATTCCAGCCCAATAATAGCCTGGGTTATGTGCTCCTTGGGAAGTGGCTCACTTTTCCCACGGACACACAGCTACTCACCAACAAAGGGGAACAGGAAGAGAGAAGGGGGTCAGGAAAGGTAACATTTCCTGAGCGGCCCCTCAAGGCCTGGGACTCCACACACTTCACCTCATTCAGTGACCAACATCCCAGGAAAGCAGGGATGGGAACTGTTGTGGAGAAAAATGTGCCTTTTGCTACTGGATGGGGAGTTAGTAAAGTGAGATAAATATATACATACATATATGTCCCCTGTATTTATAATTTAAAAGTAAATGATTTATCAAACACTTCTATGGGCTAGAAAAGTGCTATGCACCTAAAGAAAAAAGCCACAGTGCTCTCTGAAGGAGTCCAAAAAATATAAAGAAACACGTGCAAAGTTAAATGGTAGAATGAAAATTAGATGAATGCAACTGAGAAGATTTTAGAACTACCTGGTGCTATATCTAATCCAGCATTTCCTAAAATGGTATGTACCTATCACTGGTGGCATACAAGATGATTTGAATATTATTTGAGAATGCATTAGAAAAATCTACACCCAGCACAGCAAATTTCTGGGGTACATGGATATCACTATTTACTCTGAAGCTTTCAATGGAGTTGATTTCAAGAATACCCAAGGGCTGGGGATGTAGTTCAGTGGGGCTGCTGCCTGCCTCACAAACCCGAGGACCCGAGTTTGATCCCCAGTACCAAAACCAAAGCCAAAACAAACAAAAAACAACAAAAAAACGTTGTCAATAGGGAAGGGTGGAGGGGGTGAAGGGAGGGCAGGTGTATGGGGAAAAAACAAGAACCAAAATATATCATGTAAAGGTATAAGATCCCAATGATAAATGTAACTGTATTGTTTGCCTTAAATGGACCAATAAACTTGATTGGAGAATAAATAAATAAATAAAAATATGGCCAGCAACGCACTTGGTTTCTTCTCAAGATTACCCAAAGGAAAATTATCAAGCTGTGTACAAGAACATGGAACTGAAACACCACAAGGTCTGCAGGTGCTGCATGAATGGCCTTGAATTTGGGAAATGCAGACCAATTTCAATTTCAGGGATGCAGAGAAGTTAAATGAGCTCCCCAAGGTCATGAAACCATGGAGATCAGAGATGAGCACACGGTCACGTGACCTGTCCTCTGCGCCCCCCCCATTTCATTCACTACTTCCTGTTGTGCAGATGAGGAAACTGCTGCCTGAATAACAAGTCGTCGTTTTTGAATGCAATAATTCCCATGAGAATCTGCCTGCAAAGTAGAAAGCACAGTCAGCTTCATGGAGAATCAAAGTTAATATTTATAGAGTGCTTACTATGCATGCCGGAATTACAAAGAATTCATACATATTCATGTATGTTAATCCCTAAACCACCGTGTGAGATGCACTGAGATATTTCTAAAATTCCTTTGTTCGTATGAGAAAATGAAGGAGCACAGATCGAGCACCTACCTTAGATTGTAACTTGCGGAGCTGGGATTTGAATCGAGGTAGCCCGGCCCTGGAGTTTATCCGCTATGACACACATAGCTTACTAATAAGTGAGGAGGTAGGTGGAAGAGGCAACTTGTTTACCTGGTGAAATTGGAATGTTCTGTTCACACGGTGTATTCCTTCCTCCTTGAGCCTCAACTTCTCCAATTAGTCACCTTTTCATTCTGTGGAAGGCATGGCTTCTCTCCACCGTCATCTTTGAATGTGCAGAAACTCCTGCAATTAATCTAAGCCTACCAGAAGCAACGCTCTTGTGAGAGTGACGTGTCCCTTTACTACGATGAGAACTATCGGGAGTAGGGGAGTAGTACCACTTCCAACGCTGGAAGGGCACGCGTCGCAGGAGGTGAGAGGAGGGAAGGGTAGTCTGGGGACGCGGTGGGGCTGCGATGGGCAGGAGAAGAGGCCCAGGCAGGAGGCTGCAGGGGTCACGCGGTGGTGCTCGCCCAGCCCCTGGCACGGAGCAGGTGTGCCAAGTTTGTGGGGCGAACGGGCACCCGCTTGGAGGCAGAGCCAGGCAGAAGCTGGCCCGGGTACAGGGCCCGGAGGTGAGAGGGCACCAAAGAAGCACTTGGCCCGCTTTCTCACTGTGCTCCAGGTAAGTCGAAGCAGGACGGCAGGGGCCAGAGACCCAGTCATCGGAGCCGCACCTGCCGGGGTTAGAACTGCCTGCTTTGGGGAAATCACTTCCGGTCTGTGGTCCGAGTGGCCCCAATCCTCCGTGTGGCTTGCGCTTCTTCAGCGTAACAGTCCTTGTTCTCGCTCCGCACAGCGTGCGGGGGCCATCTGGGGCCCGTGACAGCCTCCTGGGCATCGGTGCCCGAAGAGGGTCAGCCCATGGCCCTGGCCTTTATCTCACGCAGGCGCTGACAGCAGAGCCATTCCACACACCTCAGGGGCAGAGAGCCGCGGGAGCCGGGGCCAGGCTGGAAGGAGAGACCCCGGGGATGACGCCCTAAACCCGCCACCGCTTGCAGTTGCACAACGCGCAGGCCCGAGCACTTGCTAAGTGTCAGCGGCACGGCCCCACATCGGGATCAGAAATGCGAACCATCCGCCCAGCACACGCTCAGATGACACGAAAGCTCTCTGCCGCCAGGTGGTGAAGGCTGTTGCACTGGCTGACAGCAGAGCAGGGCATGACTTACTGTAGATCTTGGCCTGGGAAGCCGAACACTGAGTACCCTGTACCCCGCTGACCTTGGGCAGCAAAGGCTTCTGATAAAATGTACTTTTGTTGTGTGTTTGTTTTTCCTGGCAGTCTCATTTTGGGTCATAAATGGATTATTATTTCCATCTGATAAATCCACTCTGGCCTCTGTTACATTCTCTTCGGTGCTTTCAGAAATGACTGAAGGGTTGGTAAAATCATCCCTGGCGAACTCTGCGTGTCCTGACTTTGCACAGAGGCTCAGTTTCCACCGTGTTCACCCTACAGTTGATCCCATGTGCGAGAGGTTGGCTGGAAAGGGCTCCTGAAAGCAGGGGATAGAATTATATTTACACTAAAGCATTCCGTGCCACTGAATGCCAGGAAAGTGGCTCGGACCTCCCCTCACTCGGCCCCGCAACCTTTTTGAAGGACATTGGGCAATCATCAGGGGTTATAAAGCTGGAACAGCATTCCCCCCAGACAGGTCACTTTCCCTGAAGGACAGCTTGGAGGCAAATTTTATTAAGTATCAAGTAGCTGACCCCGAGCAGTATAAATAGCGAGAGAGCATATGACAGGCCCAGAAATGAATGTGGCTAAAACCCTAGGCTGAAGACACTAACCGGGTTTACTGTAGCAGCGCCTTTGCAAGGCAGTCTGCCCAGTCCAGAGAGAGGTGCTGAACCAGGGAAACAGAAGGGCCAAGGCCCAGGCTTCCAAGATGAGCCTTCTTGCTTTTGAAAGCCAGTAGTTAACCCAGGGGATTGGCCTGAGGATAGGTTGGAGGGGACTAAGTGTGGTTTGGAAGAAGAGACTGGTTCTTATTAAACTTCCACAGGCCAGCTAGGTAAGAGCTGGAATCCTGGCTTACATCTGGTAGTAACTGTAAGCATCCACGAAGAGGCAAAAGAAACCCCCAAGTTGAAATTTTTCAAGGGAAATATTGAAGGGATTTTAATTCATGTTCGTTTTCCCCACCGGTCGCTATCTTTACTTTAAGGATACTACCTAGTGTAAATTGTGCTCTAGCGATACTGATCAGGAAATAACACTGAGTTAGGAGGGACCACTGAGCTGTCTGTTATGGCTTGTATCTAAAAATGCCCTTTTGAAGTCTCATTTGTTCAGCTGTAGGGATTTGGGAAGGCAATTAGATCTCATCAATGGATGAGTCCACTGATAATTTGATGGTGGAATGTGCTGTTAGGAGGTGGAGGCTGGTTGGAAAAGTAGGCCCTTGGGAGCAGGTCTTTGAAGGTTATGTCCTATCCCGAGTCCCTCCTTCTCTACAGCTCTTCCTGACCGCCTGGAGTAGAGCCTCGGTCCTCCACCAGACCTTTCCACCATGATGTTTTTGCCTTGGAGGCAGCTGACCATGAATCCAAACCTCCAAAGCCATGAGCCAAAACAAACCCTTTGTTTTTTGGGCTATGGATGTCAGATATTTTTGTCTCAGCAACGGAGGGAGCACTGACCAATACACTGTGTCCAAGGATAGCTTCCTACAGTGGATGTTACTCTCACTCTTTTCTCCATGGCTGGAGCTGCTGATACCTGGGGAGACAATCTTGTGATCCTGTAATGGGGGTGAAAGGTGCCAGGAAGCATGGTGTAAGTTGGACTTCAAATACAGCAAATTCCTCAGGCATTCCTGGCCCTGCCTGCCATCTGTAACGCACACATATTTTGTAAGGGAAGATTTCTTCTTTCAGATTTCAATTCTAAAAATTTCTTGAAGGGTGGCAGTACTGTTACTGTCTGAGAGTAACCACCTGATTATATCACTTCTTGTATATTATTAACAATCAGTGTCTTTACTTTGTACCTAGAGCCAAGACATAAAAGGCCATGAGCTGTCAGAGCCAGTGAGACTCCAGGGGCCTGATATAAAGAGTTCTTCACAGAGGACACTGGGAATGGATGAGGTGCAGTCTTCATTCCCCACTCATCTTTCTCCCAAAGGTTCCTGCATTTACTCGGTATTCACTCTGTTTCTTCTTTGGCAGAAGAACTCTAACGTGGCACTGTACCGGGCTAAAAGACTACATTTCCCAGCTTCCCCTGTTGTAGGGGTGGTTAAAGAAATCTAAGGAGATATTTTCGGGTGGCCAGGATTGCCAAACAAAATACAGGGCACTAGTTAAATTTAAGTTTTGGTAAACAACAAATAATATGAATATACATAAAACATGTCATATATTTATGCATTTTTTATTTGTCAAATTTGGCATCTCTATGCTCGGGGCTTCTAGGAAGATAGAGACACCTTCTGTCTTTTTTCTCCTTTCTCTTCTTTCCCGGGGCATGGATGGAATAGCTAGGGGCTCCGGCAACCACCTTGAGTCCTGTGGCTGAGGATAACGGAAGAGAAAGGCCGAAGACCTGGGTCCTGATGGTGTACACTGTATGTTCTTACGTACGGGGATAAACCATTGATTTGCTGTGGCCACTAGGGGTGCTTCTGTGATTTTTTTTTTTATCCCATTGCTAGTCCTGCTATGGAACAGCCCTACTGAAGAAAGCATTGTTATTTTTTCTATTTGCTTAAATCCATTTACCATGTGTCATTTTGTTTTTCTCTCTTATGTACCATAAATCACTCTACTTTTACTGACTATAGTTGTAGGGACCCCCAGAGAGGTGAGTAATGTTCCCCACGTCCCTAAATGGGGTCTTTTACACATGCTTCGCATGGTGTTAGTAGATGACTATTTTGCAGACTGCCTTTGTATATTATCAGTAATTACTCCCAATAAATAATAATAATGATAATGATAACAATAATAATATTCCTAAAGAAGAATAGTTCTTATCTCTGCACAAGGATTTGGCTTGACAACTCAAATCCTATGATACAGTGGAACCGCTGAATTATATTTCCAAAATTATATCACAGCTTCCCCTCCATTCCATGAAGTTTGGCTAAGGAGACTCATGTGCCGAGGGAAAGCCAATTTGCAGGCACATTAATAATTCAAGAGTGATGTAAAACTGAGCTCCTTCAGCTCTGAATATCCACTGAAAGGCATTCTGGGAAGTGAAGGGGTTTGTGGGACTGGTCTTTGTGCATTCAGGCCCAAACTATCTGGCTGAGTGCCGCTGATCATGCAGGGAAAGAGCAGTCACCCGGGCTGTGAACTGTATGAACACTGCCTTACCTTTCTGCAATGGAATCTTTTGAAGGTTAAGTAACAGTAAATAATCAACCAAGATCTCCCAGATTGGCTGCATTTACATTCTCTGAAAAACATTTCTCCCCATGAAGATGAATGATTTCGGAGTGAGAGCAGTACTACTTTTAGGATTCCTTCTTCAAACGTCCAGAGAACAAGATCGGGCCTGGCCTGGCTGGCAGAGGCCAGATGCTGCCATGAGGCAGAGGGCGGTGGGTTAGAAGTTAAGGGCCAGAAGGGGGAGAAAACTCTCAGTTCATTTTAAAAGGCTTTGCACTGGCTCTGCAACACCACCTGTGAGCAGGAAGGGACAAGCAGAGTCTTGCCCTACAACTCTCAGAAGGCTCAGAGAACCTGGGAACCAAATCTCAGCACATGGGTTACATTACAGACAAGAATGAATAGAGCAATAAATATTACAGCAACGGAGAGAGGTTCACCTAGGAGACCCGGCTTTGGGGTCTGGTGATAAGTCCTGATCGAGATGGTTAGCTCCGAAGACAGGGTAGTAAACAGAAATGAGTTGAAGGAAAGTAAGACCAAAGCATAGCTGTTCATTAATACTACAGTTACAATGTTAGGGGGAGATGAACTTTTTTTTTGTTCCGAGTACATTGGCGTATACATAATATCCATGTAGTACACGTTCATTGAGGATCTATTATGTGCCATGTGTTATGCAAAGTGCTTGGAACACACTGAGTTTCATAGTGCGGGTGGCAGAAAGGGCCACAGTGCCTTTGAACTTCACAAAAAGATTAGGCTTTTACAAGGTCGATCTATTCCTGGTTCTTATAAAAGCACAGCTAGAACCAGCCACCTTCTACCTGCTGTGTAATCCCTTAAGATCACCACAAGTGCTATTCTAAACTAAAGCGCAATACATCTTGGTAGGCAAGTTAGCAATTTCTTTCTTTGTTTTTTTTTTTAATAGGCTTGTGATAAGCCCTGTAGTAAAAATTAGAAGACTTCAGGACCTCACACTTGCGAGGCAGGCGCTATGATGCTGAGCTAAATCATCAGCCCCCAAATTAGAAGACTTTTATGTTAGAAATTTTTGTTACTAAATATAATCATATATTCAGTTGAACTAAGTTTAAGCATTTATAAAATGAAATGGTAGAAAGTATGAAAAAGATAATATCATGAATCCTGGTTTAAGGTAAGCATTGGGGAGACAGATAGCCACTCACCAGACCTCGGACTGCTTACTTAAATCTCTTAACGCCTCGGTTTCCTCATCGGAGAAGCGCGAATAACAGGGCATTTTCGGTGAGGATAAAATGAAATTAATAGTTAGGTCCTAGGTTCAGTGTAGGGCACAATGGATGCCTCCCAGGGAATAAAGCTGTTTCTGTTTTACTAAAAACTGGCTAGAATCCTTGATATGGTTGTTCATATGCACGCATGTATTTGTGTATCTGTTGTCACTAATATTTTGGAAGTGGCTATGTGAACATTCTAAACACATGGGAGGTGCAAGTACGGATGGATTCATTTCGCCCCTTAATCAGTACTTTGCAGTGTCATGGGTAAATCCCATTTGCTACAGAATCCCCCAACCACAGACTGTAGAAATGTACGGATTTTAAGGGTCAGGGCCTTCCAGCTGGCGTCTTGTTCTGGCTCACGGTTTCTCCCAGCTTCTTCGCCTCTTCTCTCCCACGATACCTGACAGAGAGGAGGGAGAGGGCCAGCCGTCAGCACCTCCTACCTGCCTGCCTCTGCCTCTGGTCTCCTCTCCAGCTTGTGCTGTTGGCACGTGGGGTCCTGCTGTGGGTGGTGAACTGTGGGTCTTTGGAGGGCCCCACTTCCAGATCAGTAAGCTGCACGGCTGTGGCCCCACGGCCTCGTATGTGATGGCTCTTGGTCTCTCTCTTACAT